TGGGACAAAGGCTTGGTGTTGTTGTTATTGTTGTTGCTTGCAAATAAAAAAATATATTACTGGCTTAAATTGATGCAGAATTCATGTTGGATGGCTAAAGTGGAGGGACGCATCGGGCTTATTGTATGATAGAAAAGTTCCTCTCAAACTTAAGAGAAAATTCTAAAAAATGGTGATGAGACCTGCAATGCTTCATTATGGTGTAGAATGTTTGCCATTAGAAGAGAAACATAATATTAAGTTAAGTGTTGCAGAGATGAGGTTGCTTAGGTGGATGTGTGGCTTTACTCTTAGAGACATGATAATGAGGATATACATGAAAATGTTGGAGTAGCTTCAGTGGAAGATAAGAGATTGTGGTTTGGTCACATAAAATGATGACCTTTCGATGACTAGGTTGGGAAATTAGATGTACTAGTGTATTGCACTAATTTAGACGCACTTTTTTATTGCCAAATATATAATGAGCGTGTGATGGAGGCGCACAATTATCTATGCAAACTCATAAAAGAACTAGTATTGCACATATAATTTAATTTCTTTTGAAATTGATACAAATCTCATTGTTTACTTGTAGGAATTTATAGCCCAAGTGTGTTATAGATATTTAAAACTATAGAAGTTCGATGTATATCTGAATGTTGCATGGACGTAAGACATTAACATATGATTTTCTTAACAGAGTAAATTATTTCATTTAGGTAGGCTATCAATTACCTTTCTTTATATCAGTGGGAAGGTTTGGTGTTCATATTCATAACACAAAAATCAAGCTTTATCTCATCTCACACCAGATGAGATTACTGTTGATCTATATCGTAGAGGAGTTATGCCAGAATATTGGTATTGGACTTCACATAGTGAGTACAAATCTTATTTTGACTCTTAGTGCAGCCCATCTACAAGAGTTAACATAGATGAGAAAGATAGAGTTAGAACATTTGAGGACTTGATTTATGATGTGATTAGGTCACAATTTCAACAATGTATAGAAGAATCCCTGAATAAGGAGGCACAAAATTTTTATGATTTGTTATACGCTGTATAACAACTAATTTGGAATGGATGCACCACTCACTTAGAATTATCTGTTATTATGAAGATGTTAAGCATAAACATAGAAAATAATGTACATAATGAATGTTTTAATCAATTTATTAGCTTACTTAAGGAGACTAACCTGTCAAATAATATAATTTCAACATATTTATACTGGACTAAAAAATTAGTTGTCAAACTTGGTTTGACAGTTATAAAAATATATTATTGTATTAACATATGCATGTTGTACTACGAGGATAATTTGTCAGAGATTGCATATCATCAATGTAACATGCTAATGTTTAAATTAAATTCTAGGAAAGAAATATAGAATGATGTGTCAGCCAGTCGATTATTCTACTTACCATCATTCTCATATAGTAATATTTATATGCATCTATGAGCTCTGCTACACATATAAGATGACATAAGAAACATAACTCATAAGTATATGTTCTAATACATCAAGCAGAAGCAGAAACATTAAAACACTTTGACCGTACACATCCTACATTCGTCACATAACCAAGGAATATAATATTAGGTTTATGTGTAGATGGTTTTATTCCATTTATCCAATCTTCCTCAGTTTACTCATGCTGCCCCGTGTTACTCTCCCCTATAATCTTCCTCTAGAGTTTTGTATGACTACACCCTATCTATTTTTAACACTTATCATTCTAGTCCCACACAATCCAAAGGCAAAGGTAGATGTGTTCTTGCAACATTTAATCAATGACTTAAATTTAAGTGGAATAAAAGAGTTACTACATATGATATCTTGAGGGAAGTGTTGCTTTGAACAATTGATGACTTTCCAACAAACGATATGCTTTACGGTTGGAGCACTACAGGCAAGAAAGCTTGCCTATATTGCATGAAAAATACTAAATTATTCACTTTGAAACATGGAGGTTAAAGCATTTGGTTTGACTGACCGCATGTTCTTATGTGCAAACCATCCATTCAGGCTAAATAAGGATGCTTTCACTAAAAATAGAGCTGAGATGACGCAGCCTCCACTAAGTGAGAAAATGTTTAAAAGAGTAAATTTTATACCAACGATAATTGATTCTCCGTCATTAGTTGTTTACAAAGTGCCCGGGTATGGAGTTACTCAAAATTGGACAAAGTAGAGCATTTTTTGATCTTTGCCAAATTAGAGAACAAACTTAAAAAGAAATAATTTGGATGTGAATCATATAGAGAATAATGTATTCAATACAATGATGAACATCAAGGGTAAATCTAAAGATAATATAAAGCTAGGATGAATTTGAAGGATATTTCTAGAAGGAAATGCTCAAGTTACAATTTTTTTTTCTAATTTATTGTATACAATGAGATTTCTATTGGTTGCCTGAGCATGATACTCAAATTAAAATAATTTTTTAGAAATGCAGAGCAACTTGCCTATGAGACATGTTCACTCACATTAGGAGGATAGGCGAGCGACTTCTTTGAATTGGAGAGGGTGTATTAATTGAGCTTAGTAGTCTTTGGGGAAGCCCAAATTTTACAGCAAGGATAGAATATAATGGACATAACTAAGCTTTTGACATAGGGGGCATGGGTAGCTCCCTCCATACTAGGAGCTCAGTTCAACACACTAAGCATAGATAATGATTGGTAAGAATTTTAATAAATATTATTTTTTTGTTTATGCATGCTAATCTAAGTTTATTGCATAAGGAGATGCTTGTTAGAGAACCCAATATAATTGAGTTACGCAGTCACACTCATAAGAGTTAAGAGGACCAGCAATGGGTGGATGAGCGAGCGAGGAGGCATATGTAAGTATACAATGATATTATACTTACAAAAATATTATAAGTGACGATTAAACGATGATTAATCTTATGTTATATTTTATAGGATGTGTACATACAGCTTCAAGTGAGTCAGACTGCAGTTAGAGAGGGATCCTTTGGGGGTTCCACATATATTTTTGACTACCGCACTTGGTACCAGATACTAAATGAAAAACACAAACGGATATGAACATTCAGATACTAAATGAGCTAAGGAGATTGAGAGAGCAGATTGGCAGAAATGAACTTACACCTACATTGGCCGAGCATGAGAGCTAGGAAAAAGATTCCACCTAGATTATATGTGTAGGGATTTTTCATGCATTTTATTTCTTTTGATGTGTATGAACAATTGAAACTTTAACAGTGTTATAATAATTATAGAATTTTATGAAATGTGGTTGTTTATTTGAGCAATTGAAATAATATTGTTGGATTATTTTTTTATTACTATATTTAATTATTGCTTTTAAACTGTTTGGATTATTTTAGTTGGAAAGCTCACTAATTGATAGCATGAGCTATTTTTTTTATTAATGCTACAAGTTTTTGGCGAATTTGTGACAAAATTTTCGTCACAAATGTTAATATGACGATCTAGTATCGTTGTTTGTGATGGAAGTATGCATCACAAATTGTAGCGGATTTGCGACGGATTGTCCGTCACAATTTACGATGGATATGTCGCCACCATTTACGGTTGATTTTCTATCGCAAATTCACAGTAATTTGCGACAAAATTTGCAGCGGTCTACTAAAATGAAACCGTCATTTTATTTGGTTTATTTTGTTGTAAATCCACTGCAAAATATTTGCGACGGATGCTTTCCATCACAAATACTTTTGTCTGTTACATCACAAATATTTTGTGACGCGAGTTTTAACGGCGGAATCAAATCCGTCGCAAACCAAAATTTGTGATGGATTTCTCTTATTTTTGTAGTAGATTTTTTAGACACAAAAAATTAAATTTCCTGTAGTGATTGAATATGCCCCTCTACCATATCTATACAAATAAAATAGTCTATTTATATACAAAGGTAAAGGGTCCCCTCTTTCTATAAATCATATATTACAAAAATCAATCTAAATAGGAAATAAGATTTTCTCCTTACCAAGTTAGACTAAAGAAAAAAGGAGATAGAGAATTATTGGAAAGATGAACCTTGTAAGAGCTGATATCAAGATGCTTATGTAGGAGCAAGTTAGAAAGATTGATAAATAGAATCATCTGATTTGATTCATTCTCCAAAGCCATGAGATGGTCATCTTAGGGTGATCCTTTTACCAATGGATGCTCCTATTACTGTAGAAATCTTTGTTTATATAATTTGACAGAGATTAGGAAAGATTTTTGGTTGATTATTGCACTAATTAGGAGCCTTGATTGCTGTCAAAATTGGGAATGATTGGGAGATTTAATTGGTATGATTAGATTTTCATTAATTTGTCTTTCTTATTTTGTTTTGTTTCAAATCAATAAATAGAGACTCAAGGGCTGTTGTAATTGATGCACAAAAGAGAGAGCCAATTGCAAACTTATTTTCTTCAATATAATGAAATCACCCCCTCCTCGCGGACATATGCATCTTTGTAGAATCACATAAATCACTGTAAGTATGCTCTAAACCTCAAAAAGATTTGGTTGGATTTTTGTTTGCATTTTGTCATTTTGAACACCCGCAAAACAATTAGTTTCTAAATTCTTATGTAATATATCTCTTTAGAATGACAAAATATCTTCAATATTAAATACATGATTTATATGTATGTGAAGTGAAAAATTCTAATATATATATATGATTATATTTTCTAAAAATTTTGAATGAACCACAAACCCTTAGGTGAAACATTTATTACTTTGATGTACTTTGTTCATGACTGAGTCTTATCATTACATATTCATCTTTTTTATACTCTTTTGGACTACAAGATTTATTTATAAACCAGCATAATTAGTATTATTTTGTTCAATATATTTCCTTGCATTTTCATCAACGACTAAAAAGTTTTTAACAAATGCAAAAACATAATCTAAAGATGCATCTGTAGGAACATCAGCAGTATGAATTAGTCATTTGAGATTATAATCATATCCTATTCCAAATGGTGATTGCTAAATCATTTTCAAAATAGTACTGTCATCAATAAATTTTGAAATGGCTAAGTATAAATCTCAACTAAAATCTCTTAACAATTTCAACAGGATTCTACCATTATAGACGATAAAAGGATGAATTTGTTTCTCATTTGACCTATTAAACATAATACAAGACTAACACATTTCATTCCAGTATCTAATAAGAAACAAGAAAGAAGGAAAATGGCACCAGAGGTATCAGATTAGTTTACATCCCTGGACAAGGTATCCTCCATTGGAGTTTCATTGGCACATGAAACAAGCTCAGCTTCAAATGCGACAGAAGGAAGCTTCTCATAAACTCCAGAATGTAGGGTTTGGCTTGACTGAACTCCCTCTCTGTGCTTTTCACATCTCCATCTCTGCTGAATGAAAATAATGACTGCAAACACAATAGCTGCAACAGGTATCGCAATATCTCCAAATTTGGAATAGAAATCTAAGCTTGGATTTACAAACTCATAATCCTGTGGAAAGTAAGGGTTGAAGACAGGGCCTCTTAAATAGTCATAAATATGTGGAAGTATTCTAACCAAAGTGATACCAACATAGTAAGCCTTCCTGAGAGGTTTGCAGTTTCCCCTCCACAAATAGTTTCCAATTATTTGGGGGAGAAGGAAGAAATCTTGAACAAGTCCAATATACTCCTCAATTTGAACAACCGATTTATGGCGGTTTCCATTTGCTTCTATGTAAGTTTCTGTGCTGGTTGCTCTCCTGGAGTCATTGATTCTATGCACAATAAAAACTACAAGAAATCCAATGAAATGTATAATTAAGCTAATGAGAAAAACATTTCTATCACTTGGTACTCTTCTTGGTTCCAATGGAGAATGTGTAAGTAACCTGCTACGTGATTTCCAGACCTTCTGACCAAGCCTTATTGTAAGAAGAAATGCAGAGAGTACAAGAATCTTTACCATGTAATCAAATATTTGAAATTTCTCATTCTTTTCAAAACCTTGGGATGTTCTCTCATAAGAATCATTTGCAATTCTTGCAAAAAGTGTCTCAGCTCCAGTGATCAAAGGAATGCTATAACCCAGAGCCTGAACACCAAGCATGATAAGAGAGATATAAGGGAGAACACTGCTGCTATCTCGAATGTAAAATAACTGGCTCAATATGCAAGCTATCACCATGGACAATGTAAGGATGCAAAGAATTCCCTCAACAGCTCTACGTGAAAGTATGTCTTCCTTCTGTTTTTGATACCAGATTGGAAGAGTACTTCGAAGCTTAATCGGGCTAAAATGTAGAGGGTCATCATCATTTCTTTTGCTGGTGATGAAGACTTTTGCCATTGGATTCATAAACCACCTTGCCGTTGTTGGCGGGTATTCAACTTTCACTTCGATCAAACAATCCAGACCATCTTCCAGATCCATGCTATCAAACAGGATTTTCCATGAAGCGCGAGCATCTCTGCAGCCGATTAGATACATTTTACCATCAATTGGGTTATAAAGTCCCTCCAGATAAAGCAATGAAACATTACTATATGGTTTCTCAGAAAGAGAAAGCTCTGCTGAAACATTTAGAAGAAGCTGTTTTTCAGTCGTAGAAGCTTTGTCAAAGGACTGATCTGATCCTTCCAAAGTAGATGCATTCTGATATGCCCAAAAGCGATGAAAAAATGATCCAATTGTGAGTATTTCCAGCTGAAGAAATGGCTTTGCGACCCGATTCTCAGGCAACGGATCAGGAATGACATAGACAGAGAGTGTGAGATCATCTGCGAGGTTTGAAAGCCTGATACTCTCATCACTCTCATCTCCTTTCTTTGGGTAGCTTAAAAGTGATTTCTTGATAACTTTACTGAATTCAAAAGGTTCATTCCTCTCCAAAAAGGCACCAGCAAATTTTATCTTTGAGTAAATATATGCAAGCGGAGGGAATCTACTAAACTTCATGGAAAGTTGCGAAGGATGAACAGGCAATTCAAATGTCAAGGGATAATACAAGCTGTTAGTCTCGTTGATGCTCGAAATCTTCCCATACAATAAATTTCGCCGCCTGATCGAAAAGGAGGTAGGAACATATAAAAAGATGCGAGAATGGCAACCATCTTTAGCAAGACCAAGACAACCAATCATGCAAAGCTGTCCGGTGCTAGAATTCCATATCCCCTCAGCTGAAAGTGTCGATCCATCAACGCCACTCCTCTGTGAAACCCAGTAGTGATTCTGCAACGGAGGAACCACTCTAAACACAGCAGAAACTCTAGCATATAAAGAGTTTTTTGCACTGATTATCTGCTCACACCGGACATCCTGCATCAAGAGTCCAACATTAGCAAAACCACCATTAGATGCCTTGATCTCCCGGTTAGATTCAAAAGGCCCTAGCTTGCTGCAATACTCATCAGTGGAGTTACAATTCCAATTTGGTACAACATTAAGAAACTCCCCAGAGACAAGGCTATCAAGACGCTCACAGAACCTATCACCATTGTAGAGCTCAACCTTTCCGTTAAGGGATTCAGTTTGATTAGGGTAATGGTTATCACAGGCCTTGTAAATGAACTTTTCAGATGCAAATTGGTAGTTTGAAGAAGCACCAAGCTGAGAAGTTAGATGAACATCATCAAAGTATTTGCGACTGGACTTATCATTCAAGCTGCGCAATTCTCCACGAATGGCTCTACTTGTCAGCATGAAAGTCTTAGGGTAGCGAAGACTAAGGAGGATGTTGTCGTCCTGCATGAGTTTTGGCAGAATATTGCTTGAATTAGATTTCTTTGCCCAATCCCATGGATCAACTGAATCTTGTTGACGAGAAGGAAGTTTCGAATGTCCCAAAAGACATAAAACCCTTTCTCCGCCATTCTCCTCTGATTCAGTATAAACTCCTTCGAAAACAATAACCAGCTCAGAAGCCCCCGGCCATATGCGAAAGCCTGGAAACACCAACGGGCCGCCAGCGGGAACAGTGCCTCTTCTTGATAAGCCTATAGACAAAGCTCCGCCGATATTAATTGATCTTCCATGATTATCGGGATCAAAATGCGTCAAATTGAATGTCACGAGCCGAAGGGGATCAGAAAGGATCGAGGAATTGTGCAGCAGATCACTGTCATCAAAAGGCATTAAAGGTGATTCGCCGAGTTCTTGTCTCCAATCTCCCTTGATGAAGGATAGCTCAGCCTCAATGCTATTTGCTCTTTTGACATCAAAATTCAAACTTGAAGATGAGTGAGAAAGCACAGGTTTGCATGCTTTCTCCACCTCAGTGAATCGAGTGTAGTAGTGGGGTACATATGGATCTTTCGACTCAGCAAAAGGGCTCAATTTGGATTTAACATTGACGAACATCAAGAAGAAGAGGAAACACAGATTTTGAACCAAAGAGGGCGTGATTTTGTGGGATTCCATTGACGATTTCACACCAGAAGCTGCGATTTCAAGAAATTTCATACAGAATCAAGTGCCTTCCAGCCAGCGAAAACAGATTCAAGTTCCCAACTTGTATTAAAATTTGAAAGGATTACAGAAGAACTATGGAGACTGACCTGGAATCAGAGGGCGATTGGTGTTTTTTTGAAGCCAAGAACACTGCTCCAGGAATCAGTGAGATTTTCCTTAAAAATAGAAAATTCTACCACCGCGTGTGGGAAAGGGAGGACAGAGTCAGAAATAAACAAATTGTTAAAGAAATGGAAGGAAAGTTGACTCCGAAGTAAACAAGAGATGATGAATTGGCAGAAAACTTCGAGGTGCTCAGAGAAATTACAGGCTGCGCCATGGATCTTTGAATTATCTATCATAAACATCGGGTGCAAGAACGATGGCAATTTTGATATTAAAAGAAAGTGCAGGCATCTAATGTTTGTTCCTTAATTAATGACTGGTTGGAGAATAGACCGAGAGTTGGAACGAACCGGGTCGGGTGTCCCGTGGAGTAAGAAGTCACGTGAGACCGTTATCATCTATTTGGGGTGGGGTTTAACTAAGTCTTCTTTTAGGATAATTTTCTAATTATTTTATAACATAATTTTTTAATATAAAAATCTTTAATTAAAAAATTTGGATGAGTTTTTGAAGTATCTTATTAATCTAATTTATTATATTTTTAATTATTTAATTAATTTACTTAATTATTAATATTTAAATTATATTAATTAAGTTAATCAATAGTAACTTAGAGGCGTCGAGGGTTTGACTTTCATCTTCTCTTTTTTTGTTCGGCTTCGTTGCTTCGCAAGGCGTAGAGATTGCACGCTTCGCTTCGTCGGCTCCTTCGTGGCTGTTCTACTTCGCTCCTTCGACGACTTTCCCGTCCTGTCGGATCGGAAATTACGATATTTTGATCGGAAGCAACAACGGGAGCTCGCTGGCTGTGAAGGTAACTTTCTACCTTTCGCGCGCTTCTTCAGCCAAATCCCATAAATACGCCGATACCGAACAGCCCCTAAGATTTTTGTAGGATTTAAAATTGTCACTTTTGCTATTTGGCAGGATTTAGGCTAAATCCTGCATCCGAACAAGATAATAACTACATTACTAACAAAGATAAATGAAAAACAAGAGAGAAGAGATGAGGGAGAAATAGAACTTATAGAAAGCCTCTGTGATTTCACTAGATTGCTAGAAACAGAAAGTTCAATGTGATTGATCAAATGCATTAGGCTCTTCTTTTGTCTCCCCATCTTTAGGTTTGAGTTAAGGCACATTGCTCTATGAAAGATTACATTTGAACAAGTAAACTTATGTAGCAATGCTTAATATATATTTTAAATAAAATAATAATTCTTGTTAGCTTGTAGTTTTTAATATACATAGAGAACTCCAGATACGTTCCAAGTAATGGACAAGTTTTAATGATGGCTTCGACTACTTAATTTTGAGTTGTGAAATAGCTTTGAGATTTGGGCAGGTAGCTTTTATGTCTTGAAGTGATCTTGACGTTGAATGAGGGTTCGTTGAGTACATAAGAAAAATGTCAAGCAACTTTAATGGCTTGAACTTAGCTACAAGTTCATTATGCGTTTAGATGATTTGATTTTGATGGCAAATTAATTATATTTATCTACTTACTTTCTTTGAAATTGGTTCATTGTGATATGCAAGACCTGGTTTACTTGGTTTTTGAGACATTCACATAAATTAGTGCTTTGATTATTTTATCTCTTTAAAGATATCAATGAAATAACATGAGAATGAAAATATTATAACTATCTTGATTACATAAATCTATAAATATTTTTTTGTACACGCTTATGTATGTATGTATATATATTTATGTATGTATAATTGTATATACACACACACACACATACATACACACACTCTTTAAGCCCAAGTAGTTTGCTCGTTCTTGTAACCTTGAACATAGTGAAAAGAGGGCTACAACAAGCAGGCTGTCGGGAGAAGAGGAGAAGAAAAGAAGTGGAAGCTTGGGGTTTAGGTAAAAAAATTGTTTTTCTTAATTTCACTTACAAATTGCGTTTAGTTTAAGGTTAGCAGGCTTAAGGTCTTAAATGAGAATAAATCTTTTTGAGGAAAACTATTATTTTGAGGTTATTTGATTTAATTTTGAGTTATAACATTAGGAATTGATTTAAATTAGGAAAATTGTTTTTTTAAAGGTAGTTTATAAAAGATGAAGGTTTTAGGGTGATGGGTGCAAGGAAATTTGTTCTAAGGAGGATATAGTATTTGTGGTGAGTAGGGAGCAAAATTTTTTATAGGCCTTAAGCTTGTAGAATTATACATTACATTGATTTTTTTTTGTGTTTGTATATATAATATATGATATTATTTACAAGTCAAATAATCATATATTTAAGATAATTACATGTCATTTTCAATTTGTATAAGTTTATGACTTATCATGCATATTCAAGTAATCATATATTATTTCACAGAGTAAAAGCTCAAAATAATCCCCGACTAATAGTAAATGTCCAATTTAGTTTCAGACTTTCATAATGTCCCAATTTAGTTCCCCGACTATTAGAAAATATCATCTAACATCTAAAATTGATTATTTACACACATACCACCTAAAACTTATTTAACTTTCTAAAATACCATTCTGTTTCCTCTCCGTCAAAATCCTCCTATGAGCCCTCGCGCTCTCATTCGCACACAAGAACTGATCCCCAGGTCCTCTCCCATCTCCTCCTGTTCGTGAAAACTGTCCGCTTGGAGTCAAGTATCGACGCTTCAGTTTCCCATTTTTGAAGTCTGGGATGAAGATGATCTATAATCCGGCGTTCACTGATTTATTGTCATCGATGGAGGTTGAAGTGTTGAATAAAAATTGTGGGATTCACTGCGGATTGACTGGAGGTATGTGGGAATAATTCTGTTGACGCCGGATTGTGGGATTGACGCCGGAAAAATCTGGAGGCACAGATATCTCTATAATTAGGCGTTCTATTTTTTTCTTTTGAATGCCTATAGATTTTTGGGATTTTGCTTTATGTTGGAATAGAATCGTTTAAGTTCTGTTTTGCCTTTTTTTTAATTAGATATCGATTTTGAGAATTTAAATTCTACTGTAATATAGATATACATGTTCTTTTTTTCCGTTTGAATGAATTCTGTTGGAATAGAGCAATTTATGCTCTGTCTTTGTCTTTTGAATGATTTCGGTTGGATTCGAGTGTTTGTGTATTGGAATTGTCTGGGAAAGCTTCTGGGAATGGATTGCAAGAGGTGCATGATGCAGGTGTGGACTGCTCCGATCCCAATCCTCCTGAAGAGCTGAATTCATCTTTTTGCACTTCAGATGTTCGGATAAAGGTGGCTGCAGGCGAGAGGGAGCAGGCGTAGGTTTTCACGAACAACAAGATGAATTTCGCGCGCGATCCGGTTGGTTTTGACGGAGAGGAAGACGGAATGGTATTTTCAAAAGTCAAATAAATTTTAGATGGTAGGTGTGTAAATAGGCAACTTTAGGTGTTAGATGAGTAAATAAGAAACTTTTAAGTGTTATGTATGTAAAAATCCCAAAAAAATAATATAATTTCACATGCACCATTGTACATAAAATGCCCTTATCTTTAATTATTGGGGTTAATTTTAACTGTTACTTTTGACATTGAGATCAAATTGAGACATTTTTTAATAGTCAGATGCTTAAATTGGGTTATTATGAAAGTCTGAGACTAAATTGGATATTTACCAATAATCGGTGGACTATTTTGAGCTTTTATTCTTATTTAACATGTTGACACATGCTAATAAGAATTGATGATTGCTTGCTCATACATTTGAAATGCTTATGATATTGATGCTAAAGAGGAAATATATGAAAGATTATGTCATGGGAGATATGTTGATAGATTATGGGTATCGGTATAGGATGAGAATTTTTTTTTTGAGATAAGCCTCAATAGAGGCCAAAAGGAGATTCTTAACTCTTGATAATTGCTATGTTGGAGTAGTCTAATCTTTATTGCGGGGCTATTGATAATTGTTATGTTGGAGTAAATTTAAACCATATCAACAACGATAATGGGCCAATGTGTTAGATGATGATCATATGATATTTAAATGTGCAAATTTTTTGACAAATATTATATGATCTTCTAAGACTATGACAAGTAAGAATGAGAATAGAAAATTGTATTTTGATACTACTATTTGACTAATATATGTCTTGAATGATTGGACGCTAGATAGTTATATTTCATTCTTTGTCGACAGTCATGAACTCATGTTTATTGCTTATGACTGTCTCTTAACATATTAAATTATTAAATCAAGTTTTAATTTGATGTCTATTATACTGATCTTGCTCAATGTTTAAAATTGCGTATTCGGGTATTGAGGCGTTTTTCATTCGTGAGGCGAGGCGTAAGCCTCAAGGCGTTTTGAGGCGTAAGCCTCAAAATCAAAAGATTGCGTAAACATAAAATAATAAATTTTTTATATACTAATGAGTGAATAATTTAAAACATAAAAAAGCATAAGATATGAAGTGAAATCAAAATATCCCAATAATAAGACTACATGAAATATAGTTCAACTCAAAATTCTATCTTTCCTAAATCCCAGTATTCTTTTCATTAACATATAATTCCAATTTCAAAGAACAAATAGCAATGACATATCACATAAGAACTCATAAGTCATCAACACTGTCATCACTAAGGGGTTCTTCATTTGAATCATCATTATGATGAACAGCTTTCTCCCCTTTCTCCTCTTCTATAGAGTCCAATGTCGGGCATTTACTTCAAGATTTATATAAGTTTTAATATCTATAGCGTGAGGCGAGGCAGGCCTCAAGGCGGGCCTCACCCAAGTTGAGGCGCAAGCCTCATAAAAAAAACTCGAGGCGTAAGCATCGAGGCGTTTTTTATTGGAATTGCGCAAAGGCGGGCCTCAAGGCGAGCCTCATATTGCACAATTTTAAAAACGCCTCAATACCCGAATACGCAATTTTAAACATTGAGCAAGATTGTTAGGTCCTTTATTTAAATGGTTTACTCAATACCCGAATACAAAATTTTAAACTTTTTAAACATGATCTTGCTATATTTATTTGTATTGACACTCACATCAGTTTAAAAGATCATTATGCATATTAATCTATTTTTTTATATGTTGAATTTTGTATTATAGCTATTTATCTTATTAAGCTTTCTAGCATATCAGATAGTACTTTGATTGTTGTTTTAGGTAAGGGTAAGTAGCAGATTGGGCTGTCGTAAGGTGTTGGAGTTTTGTCCTTCAACTGGATATTTCAATGTACAGCTGAGGGTATATCATAGAAGTTGAATGTGTATAAAATATAAATTAAAGACTTCCGATATGTGTTAATTATCTACGAAGTTTAGTAGAATCTCTGTAGTTTATTTTGATGAGTTAAATTATGAAATTATTGTATTAATTAATATGATTTATCTATTAGATGATTAATAAAAGAGTAATGTATATTTTTTTGATAATCTTGAAAGGTTTATTTTTTATCCACTCGATCATGATTAACAAAGGTCAAGATGTGTGTTGGTGGGAAATATATTTGATTGAATTTTCTATCTCTGTTTTGTTTCATGTTTGACCAAGAGGGCTTAAAATGGGTTGTGACACTCAAACCCCAAAGCTATAGCTATTTACCATACACCCATCATAAGAAGAAAATATTTTTATTCACTAAAGTGAAAGAGTGTTCTTTGAAGGATGGGATATACTGATTTTATTATTGAAACAGAAACTTCTAAGTAGCCAGGGAAACTATAAGTAGTACCACAATTTTATTAGAAAGTGTTCGGTTTGCTATATTTGACTGCAGGAACAACTATTGTAATAGTACAATACTGCAAAAAAGAAAGTTCAGAAATATTATCAGATTAAAGTCACTCATATATCCTTGAAATGACTGTGTTTCTTCATTTGAGGGATTTTATGTTATTCTGCTTTTGTTATCAGAATGTAATTTCTATTTTATTTTCTCAAAAACAGATTTTTTAAAATAAATTTTGGCCAAAGTATGTAAAAATATTTATATTTTAATCCAAACCGAAACTGAATTTTGCTGTTTGCTTTTCTTATCACAAAGCAGTAAAAAAAAGGGTATCGGAAGAAGCCTATGACATAGCTCTTTGCCTTTTTGAGAATCTTTTTTTTTTTTATTTTGTAAAATGTACACATTTTCCTACCTTATTCTCCGTACCTTTCAGATTTCAGGGATTAAGACCATGTCAGATACGGCGTCCATACTTTCATTCATGGAACTTGCTTTAAAGCAGGTAGATTGATTTTTTTTTTTTTAATTTTTTTTTATATAAACATACTTGTGCCTCAAATCATGTTTTATACCAAAATTGTTAGTTCCTTTATGCTTCATTTGGCTGTTGGAGCAACATTTATATGATTCAAAATACCGACATCTATTAGCTGCAAGTCAGCAGCTTGTTTGACATTTATTTACAGAAGTCAATCTTGACAGCTTGAGTAGGTAAGGCAAACTTGTACTCTACTCGTTTTGTCAGTTTACTTGATATGACAATCATAATCATAATAGATGCTACTGATTACAAACTTGTATATAGCAAACGTGAGATGAAATCTGATTAATCTTGTTAGAATGAAATATTGAATTGAATCATTGAAAGAAAACCAAAAAGCTTTATGCTAAGCGATAACCAAAATTTAGTCGGTCGCATTATAGATAAATCGATTAGATCTTCCAAATATACTTTTTGTTTGTCATATTTGGAACTAATCAGCATAGTGTAACTCGGCAAGATTAACATGTCTTTTTTTTTTCTTCTGATAAGGAGTACTGCACAACTAACCAACCAATTGAAAGGCATGTAAGTAAAGAGAAGACCTTTTGATGGATTTTTGGTGGATGGGGTAGATAAATCACTTTTTGTATACAATTTGAAAATATTATAATAGGAGTACTGGATTGATCACAAATTATAACGTTTCATTATTTATCAATTAATAATCAGTATCATTCAATTACAGGCCATGTTTCTTTATTTATATAATTAGGGTTATGAGGATTAGGCAAATTATTTGAAAGCAAATTTAATTTTATCTAATCCTCATAAACATTTAAATTTAAATCCAATATTATCCAAAAGAAGATACTTTAACTTAATAAAATAAATCAAGTTGTGCATAAGAGAAATTCGGCCAGAAATAGAAGTGGGCCAATGAATTGAAAATTGTTCCAACTTAACTCCTTTGTAGTACTTTTCTTCTCTTTTTGATGGACTTACAAAAATTTTGTTTTTCCTGAGCCAAATTAGCTAATTTGTACTGCATCAGTTCACCCAACCAACAAAAACCCCTTCTACTGAAGAGTTTGGTGTTGGCCGTGGAGGAGAAAGTGACATTACTGTCTAATGTTAAAGCATCCATGCAGTATATAAAAGTAATTAGATGAAAAATGTCAAAAAACATAAAGATTTGAAGGGGTTGGTGCTGGGCAGTTCCAAACTTCATACACATGTACAATCTTTACAATGTTGGCCAACATTAGATTACTTGACAAATATAGTGGTAGTGACACAAATGCAATCGCCATTAGGTGTAATAGTAGCGAACTATAGTTATTTAAAATAGTTCGGAACATCCAAAATAATCGCAAGTGAATTTTGAGTAGTAAATTCAACTTAATGTCCCAATAGATATTGTCTCACATGATCATGAGAGCCCACATCATAAAGTTCTTCATTAGCTTATGCCAAAGTATCATATTTAACAGTTGATGGAACATCATTATCATTAATTTCAAGAGAAGGCACATCTGCTCTATGAGCTTCAGCTTGTGTTGCACATAGGTTGTATAGAATATGCTCATTCATGAAATTCTTCTTTAAATTTAATAATTTATTAAGGGTTTTCAAGGTTCTATTCATTTGATGATGGGATACTTTATTTGTTTTGATGAAGTTCTTGATGCATTTTGATGAATCATAACATTGGTTAGGATGTGATGGAACAAATTACAAACTTATGTATTGAAATTCAAGGTCATAATATCCATCTTTATTATAAGTATAACAGTTGATGGGGACATCAGATTTCGACACGTGTACCATCGCCGGCGATGCAGATCGACGGCTACGATCCAGAGTCTCTATTTCTGATTTATTTATATTTTATGTCATGAGTGTATTTTCTTTAATTTTCCTAGTTTTCCCTTGAGAGCCTTGTTTCACTTATGTAGCCTTGAGGGCGTTTATGTCATTTCAGTTATGTTTATTTTGGCCTCCTTATATGAGGCATCATGCATTGTAATAGTTTAGTTTTTGGATGAATGAAAATTTGACATTTCTTGTTCTCTTTGTGAGTGCAAACCTCCACGATCTCTTAGTGAGTTCGTAGGAGAAGCTAGATCTCTTTGTGAGTTCTAGGCCTTCTTGTTCTACTAATTTTCTTCCTTTATGTCTCGTGGTCGATTCGTCGTCGTGGAGATTGGATTGAAGCAATTGTGGAGAGTGGAATTCCCGTTTGAATCCCAAGGTTTCCCCTGTCGCCGCCCCTCCCTGGCTTGCCCAGGCCGCTAGCCTGCAGCCCCCTTCCGCCGACCAACAGCCACCGTCCAGCGCCCCTGCCGCCGGCTCCCTTCCCCCCTTCCTGCCGCCGCCTCCTCCCCACTCCTTTGAATTTCGAATTTAAAATTTGAATGTTTTATGAGCCATTACTTGTTTCCTAATTTAGCTCCTTAATTTTAGACAATCAATTTAATTGAATTTTAATTTCAAATTTGAAATTCAAATTGATCCAATTGATTGCCCTCATATTTGGAAGTTATTTCCCCTTAAGAAATCTAAAATTTTATTTCAGATTTTGTAAAATCTGTGAATTAAGTATGTGGTCCCCATCTATTCAAAACACCAAGCCACATCACCCTCTTTACATGGCCGGCCCCCTCTCCCTCTCTCCCCTATTAATTCTCTTTTAATACCCCTTTAATCCTTCCATCCTAAGTTAATTTCAATTTCAAATTTTGAAAACTGAAATTAATCTCTCCACCTTTTTTATGGAAATCTGAATTAAAACTTCATATTTTTGTTTTGTTTCCTCACAACCTCACCCGCCCCCTCTCTCCCCCAAAACCGTGCCCCCTCCCTCTCCATAACTCACGGCTTGCTCTCTCATCTCCCCTCTTTGTCTTCCTTACTCACTCCCACCATGCATGGCGGACCCCGAATTTTAATGGGGACTTGTGTTCGACGCTCACGGTAATCTCTACATCCTACAATCGCCGTTCTTCGACGCGGAATTTGATTCTGACGACGACACCGTTGGAGCTTACTTGGATCGGATCCTCCCGACCCTCATACACGTCATCGACAGACAAAGTCCGGACTACGAGTGGACCATTGATGGCCGCCCACCCGCTCCTCCAATTCCGGCTTCTTCCCCGGTGACGAGTCTCCTCGGTATCACCTGTCTACTAGTGGCATCGCTAACTCTACTTACGATCCTCCTCCGCTAGCCACCACTTTCAAGAACGAGCGAAGGACTTCAAGGTGAATGATCTAGATTTTAAAATTGAGGCTTCATTATCATTAGCTATTTGCATTACATAAATCTTTGGTTGTTATTTTGCAAATTCCTGTAATCTCTACATGTAATCTATTGCCATTGCTTAATCTATCAACGCCATATTCTTAAACTCAAACTTAAGCAAACAAAGTGTTATTTGGAAGCAAGGTAAAATTCATCGCTTCTATTAGTTTCTCAAATGCAATTCTTGTTCACCGCATGTTGATTCACATCAATAGTAGCATATAAATTCTAGATAAATATGAGATTGATGAAATCGATTATGTGAATTTTTTTGAGCTGATTGTGTATATTTGTGATTCATATTATTATTATTATAATCATATCATTGATGAGTATAACTCCTTTAATATTATTTGAAATAATCATTATACCCATAAGAAGTTATGAAATAGATTTGCAACTAAGTTTATGAAATTAATGATACCATAATTTCACACGAAGATGATGATGACTTGCTTTCGATTAGATCTAGCTAGACAAAGATGAACTAAAATCACCTAGGAGGCAAATGCTTTTTGGTCATATGCATTAGGGAAAAAATGATGTGCTTGCCTTCTTCAATGAATGCTTAATTCTTCTAAAAACATATTAATTGTAGTTATTCACTTATGTATGTTCTTTTTTTAAGAACCAGTAGCATATCTCAATTGTATATAATAAAAGAACATGTAAGGGCCCTCCAACAAAAGCAAAATTACATTACTTAGTGAAACCTTTTCTCCTAGTTGTGTCCTGTATCGTTTTTTAGCGAAGCTTGGTAAGCTTTCTGAGAATTTGGGTTATATTATAATGCTTATGCTACAATTTAGATGATGGGAGGATTGGCAACATAGAGAAGAAGATGAGTGAAAATTGAATAAGAAGTCAATGCAAGAATGTCAAACAAGAATTACATAGTCTTCTTGGCAATCCTTACTGGAATTTTTTTGAACTTCTTTGGAGATGACGTTTTTGTTAATTTTTTTTGTTATTCAAAGAGATTTACTTTTTGTATTAGTAGGTTTCTATGGTATCCATAAATGAGACTTTATGCATTAGGAGTAAGGTACACTTTGAGGTGCTCTAGTGTTGTTATGAGATATCAAGGCTATCATCCAAATACTAGTTGAGAGAAAGTTTCCATAGTTATTCTTCTATGTTACGACTTCACCTTGGTTATACCTCTTCATAATTCAATATCCGTCGTTAATACTTCCTTCCTAAGTTTTAAAGTTTATTTTAATAACTCTCATTATGGAAAACCCAATGTTTTTTGGGGATAAATTATTTATGAGCAGAAGCTTAAATAATACAAAGAGAAAGAGAAAAAAGCAGATTGATAACAAATAGAGACATTTCTCTGATTTACTACAAAGATAAAGAGAAAAACCTCAAAATAGTCATCATTGTTATGTGGTCAATTTAGTCTCAGAGTATCATATTTCTCAGATTTAATCCTTTGACTATATTGATCCCTATGTTAAAATCATTATTCTAATTGATGTAAAGTGGGATGCTACAATATAATTTGTGGGAGATGGGCATTTTAGGAAATTTAAAAATTTACAAATGTTTTTTTAATTAAGAGGAAAGTTATTAGGCATTTTATTAGAACTAATGTACAAAGTTGAACGAAAAAGAAAACTTGTAGAACGTTGAAGCAGCTGAGGGGTAGAAGTAGAAAGCAAGCCCAACAAGCGGAGTGGCCGAAGTAGTGAGAGCACAATAGAGCCTAGTCTAAGTAGTGAGCGAGCACATTAAGCCGAACGATCAAAGTCACGAGGGAGAATAAAGGAGCGGCCAAAGTACTAAACCCATGAAAACCCATGGATAAAACAATGGGTTGAAATTGAGGTGGTAGTGAATGTAATACAATGGAGGATCACTTTGAAGGCCTCCTTTAGTGAGGATGAACACTATGAAGTTTCTCTTTATTGGAGGAAGCGTTGACTACAATGGTTTATGCTTAGTGAGGTTGACCACTAGTGTGATATTTTCTAACTTTTTTTTTTATCATTGAAGACTATTAGCAGAGTTTTATATATCTTGGGTCTATTGTTCGGAGTGATGGTGAAATAGATGGGGATATTATTAGCATCAAATTGGATGGTTGGAGTGGTGGAATGCATCTGGTTTGTTGTGTGATAGAAAAGACCCCCTCAAACTTAAGGGAAAATTCTATAAGATGGAGGGACCTGCATTGCTTTATGGTGCAGAATGTTGTCCATTAAAAGAGAAGCATACTATTAAGTTAAGTGTTGCAGAGATGAGGATGCTCAGGTGGATGAGTGGCTTTACTCTTAGAGACATAATACGAAATGAGCATATATGTGAAAATGTTAGAGTAGCTCCAGTGGAAGATAAGATTAGAGAGAGCCGCCTTAAATGGCTTGGTCACATAAAATGGCGGCCTTCTGGTGACCCGGTTAGGAAAGTAGATGCATTAGATTTTGCTTATGTTAAGAAAGGTAGAGGTAGACCTGAAAAGACTTTGTTAGAGAATATTAGAAATGACCTTTCTTTATTAGATTTAATTGAGAATTTGACTTTTAACATGACAAAATGGAGAAAAAAGATTCATGTAGCCGATCGCACGTAGTGGGATAAAGACTTGATGTTGATGATGTTGTTGTTGTATTGAAAGTGAAGGGATTATGACCAATTTTCTATAGCTAAGCTTCATTTTCGGGTAGCGCAAAAGAGATTGTAGAAGATGTTTGACTAGAGGAAATGTCATTGAGCATCAATATGATGGTTCTAGGAGAAATAATTTTCTCATTTGATTTATTTTTTGTTCATGTTATGTTTCTAGTTTTTGTTTTAATTAGTATAAAATATAATATTTGTGTGTTTTGATTTAATAACATAGCTTATGAAGATAGTGATGAAATGAAATAATAATGGAAAATATCATGTAGTTTTCGAATGGCTTAAGGATTCAAATTGCTCACCTCTTTGGTGGTTTGATTGAGACAACAATTGTTGAAACAGGAAATGATAATGTTAAGGCTGTGGAGATAACTGGGAAGGGTAGTTGTGATGATGAGGAGGACAACAAGTACAACATATTTGATAATTATGACAATTTGCTGATAGCTAGTATGAGATTTGAGTTGTTTGAAAATAATGTGGGTCATTCTATTGAATTTATGTGTATTGTAGATAAGGGCGAGGAGAAGATTGGTGTGCAATAAAAACTTAAATGAAATCTTTAAAAAAATATATGGTGAAATTGATAGCTTAAATTCTAGTGATGAAGCTAGTATTCATAATAGTGATGAAGATAGTAATGCAAAGTGGCTAATATTTAATCCCAGGATAGAGTTTTAGAGTCCCAAGCTTGAAGTAGGAATATTATTCAACAATAAGGAAAAGTTTAAACAAGCTTTGCTGAATTAGTCCATTACTAGGGGAAAAAAAATATGTGAAAAATTATGACAGAAGGTTTAGGGTTATTTGCATGAGGCCGAATTATCCATCTCTGTTATATTTTTTAAAGAAGGGAAGTCATTCATGATAAATAAGATCATTGCAGGAGCATAAATGCTCATGGAATTATCATACTAAGACTTTGACATCCATAATTATAGCTAAAAAATTTATGAATGAAGTCAGTATTAATCCAGAATGCAAGTCTCACAAGATAAGATGCAAGTTCAAGTAACAAATTCAAACGATAGGAGTGAATTTCTAAATCAAGCTGCATACAGGGTTCATTGAAAAAAGGAAAATGTACTCACTTTATGATTATTAATTTTTGGTTATTTGGTTCAATCAAGAGGATTTGATCAATAATGTAACCCATATATATCACCAATATTGGATGCGCGCACACATGGATTCTCAAATAAAAAGCTAATTGTATGTTAGCATGTAAAAAAAATCATAAGAAAAGGATCGATTCAAAATATTTGCTTTTTTAACAAGCCTATATCTCTAATTTAAAGAAGGTTGGCTAAATTAGCTTTGGAAGATATCATTGGTGGTTGAGTTTTTGTATGAGCTTTCATTTAGATGTTTTGGAAGACATCATATCCAGCTAAATTTTTGTGACATACCATGAAATCTATTTTGTAGCAACTCTTCTTTTGGATAAGTAAATGAAATAAAAGTTACTCTTGCTTTGTGCTTGCCGCTGGAACGCCACCACACAATCACCCATGAGAGGCATATATATCATCAAATATGCGCATCATATTCAAATAATATAAAAGAAGCACCTTTCCATGAACAGACGATAGCCTGCAACTCGGTTGGCAATTGGTGGCACATCAGACTCTTCTCCCTTTGGTATGATTTCCACTGTCAAGCTGCTGATGAAGATCCAAGTACAAGCTTTGAAACCACCTCATCTTCATGTCAGCAACTTCAAGCTTTTGGACATGGGAGCGCTTCTTTCAATTGTATTGGGCTAATTCTCTTTCCCAATTAAAAAAAATCCTTAAGTAAAATTGGAATTAAAATTGAGCTTTCTAAATACCTGCAATAACTGAAGTACGCTTGATGTTAACTTTAACCATCAACTTTTCCATTTCCTTTTACTTTTTATTTGAGAGACTATTTGTGATCAATTTCCGTATAGTTAAGAGATTAAATTGGAGAAATGTGATACTTTGAGATTAAGCTGGCCCCTTAAGAATGGTGGGGGATTTTTTTTGGCTTTTTCTCCAAAGTGGAATAAGGAGCAGTAGGAGAGGCCATGGTTTGTTTAGGTTGTAAATATATGAGTGGTGAATTCAATGATGAGAGAAGATAGAAAAGGGGGTGGATTGTGATTCAAGATAAGTGTAATCATGAGAACTTTTTAGTAAATGAACTAAAATAAAGTTGCTAGTTTAAAGAACTGATGAACATGTACAAGATTAATCTTTCTTGGATCAGTTTTCCATGTCTTATTGCTCTCTCTTACAGTAACTATGATGTTGAAGCTTTGAATGTATGGTTATGCATCATGGATACTTATCATGGTTTCGCCAAACCTGTAAGGTTATGGCGGTGAATATTATGTAAAATTCCATTCAAATAAACAAAGCTATCTAAATGAGATGGGAAATACAACCTATCCATTTCCAATAAGGTATTCCTTTATTTTTCTCTTAATCGTGTCAAACTAAGTCATCCATTTTTTTTAATTGTAAAATATAATCAGAGCTGCTTAGATGCATGCTATTTAAATGGCGATACAGATGTGCTTAGATCTTAGGAGTTAAAAAGCATGGTTTATATCCATTTTGGAAGCATTTCATGTATGCTTTGAGAATCATGCATATTTTTGAAGGAATATATCAGATCATTTATAGAATGTTGCCAAAATATATGATTATTATGCAAATGTAGACAACTTTCTGCATATTTTCTAACAGCACTAATTATCTTAACAGGCTAAGCTGGCTTTGGACAGACTAGAAGTTCCTGTTGGGTATGTTTGATTTTTCTTCCTCTAATAGATTATCTTTATAGTTTATCTTTTATGAACTTGGGAAGGAAATCTTAGAGCAACTTTGACATATTTGGCAATGTTATAATTAGTTAATTGGATACGAGGCTGTTAATTTTTTTGATTACTGAACATATTATGATAATAAATTATCTGAATATTTTTTAAATTCAAAAGTTGTCAAATAAGTAGATAACATGGGATGCATTTATGAGAGGTTGGTTCAGGAGTATTGTTGCTTAAAGCTTTCTGTTATATAAAGCCCATAGCTTCATGTATTTTGAAATGCTTACATTTAAAGTTAATAAACTATGCAGGCTGTTAGATACTCATCCATGCAAATTTTGCATGAATACATATACTCACTTGTTATGACCAATTATTTATTAACCCACCCATTGGAACGCATGCATTTTCCTGAACTTCTTCATAACTAATTGTGCAGTTATTCAATTACGATGTTGCTAACTAAATATTGGTTTCTGTTTATACATCCACAATGTTCAATCTTTTTCTCTCCATTTTATTCATCATTGGATGATGAGCTTATGGTAACACTCCCTATTTTTATTGGGTAATTATCATTTACCTCATCAGGTTTTGCAAAATGTTATATAGCCCTCTGCTGTTTGGCAAAATATCAAATGCCTCCTTTATGTTACTTTTCTATAATTTTAATCAATCTAATAATAAAATGACTCTTTTTCCCTGGAAAAAACATAAGAAAAAGACTCAGATTATGATATTAATCAAATAAGGGTCACGCAATTTTAAACAAGTATAAAGAAACTCCTCCAAGTTATATGAAAGTGATAGGTATCTATTTTTCTTTGTGTTTTATTAGATAAAATTTCAAATATCCTTTTTAAGGGCAAAAGCATCATTTTGATATTCAATTAATAAAAATTGGACTTAAAAATAGGGGAGGTGGGTTGATATTTATGAAATTTCTGGGTAGGCAAATAATAAATTCCCCTTTTCATTGCTATTTAAAATTGACATTGATTCCAATTGTCTCCAAAAATCAAACAATTCACTTGTTAGTTGCAATTTTTTTTTTTATATTTTTTTAATTTTTTATTTAGCAATTTAGATGCAATTCATACAACCTTTAGCTACTTTTAGGGTTTAGAGTTTGATAATTATTTAATGTTTCAATATAGCCTACTTGCATTTTAAAATTTCAATCTGATTAGTTGTATACTCATATCTGCTGTGGACATTATCTGATCTCCTCACGATTCTTATTGCCTACTAGCTGTGTGATTGTAGAGAATGGCATGGTGATTGCCTCTGGGAGCAACCGAACTTCTGAGACAAGGAATGTATGTTTCTAAACTAATGCTGACAATCTAATTATTTGTAATTATATTCACTGCTAGCATGTGCCTTCCTACTTTCTTACATCGCTTCTTTTGAGCAAGTGATGTAAACCATTAATTTCATGCCATATTGCCATACCATCTTATGTGTTGACAAAATTTGGTTATCTCTATCCAATGGACATTAGAACTGAGCTAATTCCATTAAAACTCCCTTGAAAAAGCAGCGGGGAAGAACTTTAGTACTATGGATCTGTTCACTCAAAAATCTTTACAACGGCTAAAATTCCCGACATGATTGGGAACATTATTCCATGTGGTTTTCCCTGCAGATGATTAATTCATATGCTCGATGCTCTAAAATATACCATTCTTGACGTGATTGGGAACATAAATCGTTTATTTACCATGTAGATAGTGTACTCCTGCTCTTTGTGCTTTAGCATGCTTGATTTATTGTGGTATTCATATGATTTTGGAATTTTTCATCGCTTAATACATGGCCCAGTACATGCTATCTTTATCAATAAAATCTTCATTCTCTTGAGTGATGATCAACTGAAGAAGACCTTGCAATAATGAGTGGTGAGGACTGGATTGACTATTATGATTTTTTTTGCAAGTTATATTTTTCCTTGATTAATTATTTTACAATTTTCTAAAAATAGCTTTTATTAAAATTTCTTATCTAATACTAATGATAACCTTGTACAAATTCTTAAAAGATAACATGGCTGACAATAAAATAATAATAAGAAACTTAAATTTTATTTGTGAATATCTTAATGATAGGAAACACTTGAAGATTTTAAGTAAATCCTATTAAGAGAGCAAAAACAACGAGAATTCTCTACGATTCCAATGGAAAACCAGTGAAAAACAGTATTTATCGCAAGAAAATAAACTATGAAAGAAAATAACAAGATACAACTGATCCACTATTCTTTTTTTTTTTTTTTTGAGAAAACACAACAAGTTGCATTAAAATTTTATTAAAAAGAACTAAAAAAAAACTAACAAATACCATTAGATTCCTCCTTTAACATGGAAATAAAAAAGTAGGAGAAACCTTATTTAAAACTAAATCTTCCCAAATAAAAGAACGAAGAATTGCATAATTAGCACAAAGATTCACAAATTTATTGCGCTTTCTATCTATACAATTGAAAACGACGTTATTGAAATCTTTGAAAGGAGCTCCCAAGTCATATTTATTCTTGTAGAATTCCGTTTGAAGAAGGTTAATGATATTTAAATTATCACTTTGAATGATGATCCCCTTGTAGTTTAGCATCCAATCTTTGACTACGTCCTTGAGAGATTGAATAGCTACTAGTTCAAGTCTTGATATATCCCAATGTACACAAGTGTGATCAAAAGCCAAGAGGAATCTACCTTTGTAGTCTCGAAATACTCCACCGATCTCTGCTTTATAGGATTTAAGTAAAGATGCATAAACATTTATCTTTATCTAGTCGTGTGGAGGGAGATGCCAATGATTGTCCAACAGCTTATGAAGCTGGTTAGCAACCCATTTACCCAATTTATAAGAAAAATTATTTGCTGAAATTGCAGCATAGCTGAGAGCTTCCAAAGCAATGAATATTGGACTGTCATCTATTCCATAGTGAACAAGCTTGTTTCTTCCCTTCCATGAAAAATAGATGACATTACAAAACAAATTGATCATCCAGTAATTTTGTAGAGGAATCCAATTCAAGCATTCATAAGAAAACCAAAACCCCACTTGTTCAGCTGTTGGAATATTCCTTCCAGCTTTTGCATTTGACTATCACATGTTCAATATCTTTTTACATATTGCAATTCCTTGGACAACCATCTATAACAAAGAAATTCTGACAGTGGAATAGCTTTGTTGAAGATTCTCCACCAAAAATCTTCTACCCGAGGGATGAGCTTTGCCTTTTTCAGCCCATGTCCAATAAGTAACCTGCTGAGATTTGTGTTCACCTGCTGTACCGATAAAAAAAAAATTGCTTACCTGCTCTCTGCCATCGCACGTCGTTCTCACGTTGAAGCCAGGATCGACGTCGCATCCACCACGACTCCGGACGACTCACCTTGCCGTCGTTAAATGCCCACGGGAAGGAGGCCTCTCCGCTCAAAAAGCTCTCACTCTCTGGCTGATTTCTCTCGCGCTGTCTCTCCCTCTCGCCCTCATCTCTCGCGCGTGTGCTCCTTAGTGACCAGACAACTTCGCTCCGACAACTTTCCCTTGCGGTCGGGTCGGAGGTTACGACATTTGAGCGGAAGCGACGACGGAGCTCGTCGCTGTGAGGAAAACTTTCTACCTCTCGAGTGCTACTCCGGCCCTTCTTGGCCGTCCGGCTCCACTCCTTCGGCGGCGTCCCTTCCTGTCCGACCGAAAGTTACAACTTCTCGATCGGAAGCAACGAATGGGAGTTCGCTGGCTGTTAAGGACCTTAAGGTGACCGAAGCCTGCCGATCGTGAGGGTAACTTTCTCTCTTCCCGTCACTACTTCGACTCCTTCTTGGTTGTTCGATTTCGCTCCTTCGACGGAGCTCCCTTTCCAGCTGGATCGGAGGTTAAGACATTTTTATCGGAAGCAAGAACGGGAGATCGTGGCTGTGAAGGTAATTTTCTCCCTTGCGCATGCTTCCACGGCCAAATCCCCTAAACTTGCTAAACCAGAGAAGAAGAAAGGGAGGTTTAATTCATTTTTATTATCATTAATTTTTTTAATTATTATTTAATTATAATTATAATTAACTAGTAATTAATTACTAATTATAATGATTTAATTAACTATAATTTATTTCAATTAATTATAGTTAATTATAATTATAATTAATTTTAATACTTTATTGCGCGTGGTGGGATGGGACCCTGGTCCGACGCCTATGACGAGGCGGGCAATCACCTAAACTCTACTTCGGCGTTCGTGGTGCACCGGCAAATCGCCTATACACGCCTTTATTGCGTGTGTTGGGATGGGACCCCGGTGCGACATCTACGGCGAGGCAGGGTCACTCATAAGTACCCCCGAGCGGGGGAAAAAGCAAATTGTCTTTTTAAACAGGTGCCGAAGACCCCATACACGCCTTTATTGCGCGTGGTGGGAGGAAAGATCACGACTGCGGTGTCCTCGTCTGAGGACACCCACCATATACGTCTTTATTGCGCGTGGTGGGAAGGCCTAGTTTCTCGTAGTTTTCCCCTAAACGGTGGAGACGTCGGGAGGCTGTCGAAATTTCGGGTGAACATACGACTGCACTCGGACCTGTTTGAACTCAAAAGAACAAAAACTCGGACTTAGATGAACAATGACTTGATCATTTGAACTTGAGCAAAAATTTGACTTGGATCATGAATGACTTGTACTCGAATAAGAACAGTGGACTTGTGGACCTAAACCTGAACAAAATTTAAATAATTTCTAAAGATCAAATTCAAATGAAATAAAATCAAACTGATGTCAAATTCAAATCAATTTGAACATGAAAATGAATCTGCAAAGACTCCAGAAGATTTTGAACAAAAAGTGGACATGCAATTAAACTCAAATGACTACAGCGGACTTGAACAAGATTAGAACATCAAACAAACAAAAAAAACTTCGATTTGGATTTGATCTGAGCTTGAACAAGCATTTATATTTAAACAAAATAAAACAACAGACAGACTTATAGAAGTCCTAAACTTGAACCAAATGACAAAAATCTTGCTATCAAAGCAAGTCAACTTGCAAGTGAACTTGTATATTAAGCTCAAGCTGGGTTCAAATTCGACATGAACGATAAAGAGCTTGAACCTTCAAGAACAAGAAGGGACTCAGTCTTTCATTTGATTTGGACAAAGAACTTGAATTCGCACTTGAACTCGCACTATACAACATTAAGTGGGAGTTGTAGACTCGATGAACTCGAGTCTAAATAAAACTTAACTCGGACTCAAACATATACAAAGGACAAAGCTTGAATCATGTGTGAGGGAGTTCAAACTACAAGAACATTTGTACGATCAATAGTGACTCAAAGTACGTTACAAGTCCTCAATGCATGAACTCCTACGACAATCCCTACAATGCCTGTTGATTGAAGAAGGCAAAACTGTCAATTGATGGTGGAAGACCCATCCCTACAAATAAGTACAATCATTAAACCACCTGAGATTGGTGAAGGGTGGATATGATGCAGAAGCAATGACTCTTCTATGAACATATCCAGGAATTCGTAGTGAATACAGCGGTCCCCCGCAAATGTACATGAGCCGCTTGTGGATAACAACAGTGGATATATCGTAGGTACAACGAACCACTGTGGGCACAAGTACAGATGTCACCATCGACAATGGTGACCTAGATCTACGAGTACGTCTGGTACAAAAATAACTCGGCGTACGGAGAAGGACACCCCCTGACAGAAGGAAAGGGATGCTTGAACAAATTAGAACTAAACTTCATGGTTCTATCCTTGAGAAAAAAATAGCTCTTGTATCCGTAGACACCGAAAATAACAAGTCTACTACACTGGCGATCTTGGAAGAAGTTTCTTCTCAAGGCAGTGGTCACGAATTTCAAGAAAACTTTCCCGGTGAATAAGAAAGGGGAAGTCAACATCAAGACCATACCGCCACTGGATCCGTACCACTCTACTAGCGGACAGAAGGTGTGTATAGGCTCTCAAATGAAATATTGTGCATTCAAACGACAATTATCCGCACAACCAAAATATGATAAAATACCCTTGCATGTGCACTATAAATTATATACACATAGGTACACTAAAGGGGAAAATACAATCTCGACACGCATGGGCCCCGATGAGTATGTTATTGGTACACACGTGATGCCTAGGAATGCTGCGCGGGTCGATAAGTGAATTCAAGTTCGAACCCGATCCTCCTAAGCGGATCAATAGGAGTCGACAGAGTTCGAACCTTCAAACAAATACACGGTTGTGACAACCGGTATATTTATTTTAATACATTCATATTAGGCCTTCAAGATCTATAATCAAGAAAATTCACTAACAAAAGCATAAAGCCTACAAAACCCGATCCTCCTAAGTAGGAGTCAACAAGGTTTAATTATGACATGCCCCCAAACACCCGCATGGGCCCTGGCGAGCGTGTTATTGGTAAACACGTGACGCCTAGGGATGTTGTGCGGGTTGATAAGTGAATTCAAGTTCGAACCCGATCATTATGTGCATATCAATAGGAGTCGACAGGGTTCGAACCTTCAAACAAATACACGGTTGTGGAGACCGATGTATTTGTTTTAATATATTTATATTAGGCCTTAAAGGCCTATAATCAAGAGAATTCACTAAGTAAAGACATAAAACCTACGAAATCTGATCCCCTATCTATAAGTTGATAAGGTCGACAAGGTTCAAGCTTTAAATAGAAATAACCCCACACCCTGATGATGGCCGTGTTGAATAAAAAATCTCAACTGGAGGGGTTCACAAATACTTCAAATGCATTCAAGGCTCCACCAAAAAATTCAAATTCCACAAAAATAAAAAAAAAATCCCAAAATTCGAAGATATTTAAATTTGAAATTCAACCATCAAACAACTTAAAGCAAAAATTCATCCACCCTCCGCAACGGTTTGCCGGGGTGGACAAATTAAAAAATACTTTAGCTTACATAGAGCTAAATGCCTAGTCGAAAATATCACTATGATCCATTCTCAAACAATCTCTTGCCAGTAAGGACGTGGTACGTGTCCTCTAACTGGCGGCTTTGCTGCCAAATGCCACCACATGATAAATGGTTATGACTCGGGGCTCTCTAAACCGAGTGGTTTTGCCGCCAAATGGCACCACGAAATACCGGTTATGGCCAGAGCCAATACGTTTCTTAATGGCATCAAATCATTGAGATATGAATCAATATGATATAATCGATAGGGCACAAAGTCCTCTGTCAGCTAAGGTGTATTCAAATTTGTCCCCTTAAGAAAACATTCATCCCAGGTCTACAAGGTACCCTTGGATGAAGCAACCCATGGCTGCCGACAAGGATCCTTCTGTCAGGTTGGGTCGACTACCTCCTCTGACTAAGTAGACCCGGGACCACGATGGCTCGGGACGACGGAATCATGTGATCTTGATCGGGTCCATCATCCATTCCCCCACCATCCTCTTTAAGTGCAAGATGGTGAAATTTCTACTTTAAATATCCCAAATCTCTAGACGTCGCTAGAGCCCAAAGAAAACCTATGAGATCTCAAATTTCAGCCAAATTCAAGATGCCCTAATCCTAGGAAAACCAACTATTTAATACATACAATCCAAAAGGAAATCTCTAAACAATCCTTACATTCAAATTTCCCTCATAACTCTTCTAAAAATCCTTCTCAAAAAGTTCCCTTGGACTCTGCAGTTTCTAGTGGTATACAGGAGAGGCGGAAGAGTTCACGGGACCGGCTGGGCTGGTCCAATGGACCGGTATAACACTTAAATGATTTGTTAATTTATATAACATGACTTTGTTTGGCAAGTTTAACAGTTGACATTTCTATGTAATGCTTTGTGGTGTCTTTTGTGATAAAAAGTGTTCCTTTTTTTTCTGTAAATCCAAATGGAAGGGATTTCTCCATTAATTTTTTTGGGTGAAATTGAACATTTAAATTCAAACAGTGTACATATTTTTTTTCTTTTCCCACATTTTATGTGACTAGCAGTGCTAGTGCAGCTACTGTTGCCAATGCTAGTGCAATAGTTGCTGGCAAACAGCTATTGTCTAGCTAATTGATTGGGTTTGTTGAGTGACGAGCATTTTCTAGACGTGGTTTATAAGTTCAGTATATGGGGTTCTTAGTATTTTATTGAAATGTACAGTTTTTCTTCTGTTTTTTTTGTGTGCCAAAGTTCATTTTCTCGTTTTTTCTTTTTTCTAGAGGGCTTCTGTTCGGGTGTTGTTCATTCAAATATCTTTCCTTCATGTGTGACAAAAGGTGTCAATTTTACAATTTCGTAGATGTAATTTCTTTCAAGGCCTTTGGCAATTTTCTAGTGCCAGGTTATGTTTTGATGCATCAAGGAAGACTTTTAGTTGGGAAATATCAGCCCAAACAACCCCCCATTAATTGATGTTGGCGCATGAGTAGTGCAGTCACAGAAGGGAACTAGGGATTTCCATATCAATCTGCTCGATTTGAAAACCAAATTCATCCAAGTTAAATCTTCGTTGTTTATTATAGAAGTCTAGTTAAAATTGCTCTTGATTTTACCATAAGAGTCCAAAAATTGCTCTACACCCTATATTCTTTTTGACTTGTAAGAAAGATTATGTTGCGGTGGGGGTCTATAATGTGATCTTATAATAACACCGGGAAGATAGATGTTCAACTCAAAAAGGAAGCAGTGATAGTGGCATCAAACATCTTTTATGATGATGAATGTCGAGTTTGCCGTTTGCTTTGATTCTTGCATGTGTTGATATAATTGTGTCATGATCTTTTCTATAGTTTTAATAAGTGTTATTTATGAATCAATTCAACAAACAGAAATGTCTTAGGATAATTATTTGTCTATATACATTGCATGTCTTCTTCTTGAATTCCTTTTGCAGAACCTTTTTCTCTTATTGCTTAATCGGATTAGGCAACCAGGCATGCAGAAATGGAAGCCATTGATATACTGATGGAGCAATGGCAGATGGAAGGGCTGGATTTCGAACAAGTTGCACAGAGATTTTCCACATGTGATCTCTATGTGACATGTGAACCGTGTATAATGTGTGCAGCAGCATTGTCCATTATTGGTGAGTCTAGCGTATTTAATTACTCATCTGTTTTCTGATTAAGCATTTTTAGTTTAAATAGCTTCTCATTTAATAGGTATTAGGGAAGTTTATTATGGTTGTGCTAATGATAAATTCGGAGGATGTGGTTCTATCTTGCCTTTGCATGAAGGCGCTTCGCTTGAATTTTCTAGGTATGTCTGCTAATTAACTTCTTAATTTTATCCTTATAACTGCCAAATCTATACTATTATTTGATTTTTATTTTGTTTTTTTAATGGCTATGAGCTATCTTTTTCATATAAACTAATACAATCGTTGAATATTGACTCAGTCTTTGAATGATTTTAAAGAAGAAAAAATATTTCAGAAAATATTGAGCAAAGTTTGGTTAGGATGAGTTCTAAAATTCTTAATTTACTTTGATATGATTGCTATACATTGATAATCAATCAACTCTTCTATTAAACTTATCTTGAACTAAATTAAAGGGTTTTAAAATTCATCCTCATTAAACTTTTGGTTAAATATCATCATCTAATTATTTTTTGATGTTAAAATACTTGAATTGGCATGCTTGGACCTGTTGACTAATTTAAAATTAAAAAAAGAAGAAAGAGGTGAGAAATTGGAAATGAATGAATGCCGCTTCAGAAAGTAGTTTTCAACTGTACTTTTATGAGAAGGTTAGGTTCGGGATTCTTAGAAGAATTCTTTTTTGAAGAAGAACAACTCTTTCTTTAATCTTCCTCCAAAAAATACTTTTTCTTGAGGAAATTGGTTACAATTTGCCTAATTGAGATCTCTGGAACCTTTTGCATGGGCTCGCCAACCGGAGAGCGAACAGCTATTGTCTTATCAGAAAGGTTTTTCATTCTTTTTTCTGAACAGATTTTTCCAAAAAAAAATTTTCTGAACAGAAGCGTTGTTTCAGAAACGACACTTCCATTCGACATAATACACGAAATTGATCCATAAATATACAAGAAAATAGAGGAAGAGGGCTCATGCTTATTTCAGTTTCGAAATCCTCTACATATCGCACTCCAACATCTGAAGCCGCACGATTCACGCGTCCAGGCGCGAGTGTGGCCTCCGCCTTCTTCCCCACTATCGATCAAACACCAGTCTGCTTAGCCTTCCGCGTGCTTCCAAACCCGCCGATCGGCCTCTGCACCCTCGCCTCAAGCCTTTGCCTCCCTTGCGCCCTACCTACGATCGAGGCACTCCAACCCACGGACTGCAGCCCACATAGAACAGCCCCTATTTGCATGCCAAAATTGCGACTAGGTTGTGCAGCTTTCCTCATGTCTTTGTCCGCTCCGTATTCGTCCTAGCCCCTCTCACGTGACTTGCTTCCCTTCGATCAGCCCTCACGTACAAATGCCCCAATTTGCCAAGCCGTGTGTGAATCCCTATGCGTGAGCCTTCTCTATGTGAGGCTACCTTATTTTTTTGCTAAAACTTGTGCCAAATTGCTTGTATCCACCACTTAGACGGAATAGTAGGATTGCATGATTTATTTTTGCTGCTGATTTACAGACAATATTTAAAACTGTATGTATTCGTCTCAATTCATTATTAATGACTGCCAATAACAACCTAAATAATTTATTTTATATAATTAATAAAACTATACAACAAGCAAACATTCGCTAAAACCAAATCGAAGACTTTGCGCTGTTGATTTTAAATCTGGTTAAGAAGAATTTCAAATGAAGTCCTTGCGTCGTCAATCTTAGATTCGGCTGGGACAAATTGAAGACCTCGCGTCGTCGACCTTAGATCTGGCCAGGAAGAAATTATCGGCAAGTGCCATCCTGACCTCCCCGCGAGGGGAGCAGATGGTGGGAGGCTGCCAAAATTCCTCGAGCGACTAGTAAAATTCTCTATTGGAGCAATTGGGGAGAAATTTGGATTTTTATTAATCAATTGAGTAATTTTTAATAAAAAATAATTAATGAAGACAAAATTAACCAAAAAATTAATTAATTAATCAAAGTTAATTGGTTGATTGAAATTAATTAAAGTTACTTAATCAAATTTAATTAATTAATTAATGTTTATTAGTTAATTAAAATTAATTAATTAGAATTAACTATTTAATTTTCATTAATTGGTTAATTAATTATCTGAAAGAAAAATTAATCAATTGGTTAATTAAAAGTCCGAGAGCAAAAATTAAAAATCAAGAGCGATAAAATTTAAAATAATTAATAGGTTAATTAAATTAATCAGTTAATTATTTAATATGGAGAGAGCTATTTTAATAGGTGAGGATTTTGTTTAAATAATATTAAAAAAGTGAAAAAAGGAGTAGTTTCCATTAGTCAACATGCACAACTCAACACTGAAACTCTCAAATACTCTGCTCTCCAAATCCTGTACAAAACTCTCAAACTCTCAAACACTAAGATAATAATAATTGCTCTGCAAACTCTCCAACTCAAACACAAAACGCACAAACTCTCAAACACCGTAGATCCTCTAAACTCTGAATCAACACGAGCTCCTGCAACAAGTAAATAAAATTCATTAGCATCAAAATTAAATTAATATCAAAATAAATGCTAAAACAGGAAAAAGAACAAGTGCGACGCTAAGTTACAGCAAAAAGTATAATAGACTACTAAAAGTATAATATGCTATTGGTAAAGCAATTACTGGTAAAGTCTACGACATAAAAAAGAAAAAGAACGAAGTATTAGTGTCACACAACAACTACTGCCTAGTAAGTTTCGAGCTAGCAAACAACTTAAAATTACAATCTAGTGTCAAGCTAACAAATAGCTGTTGTCCACTCAAACAACAAACAAAATTAATGAACATCTTAATTTAAATGATTAGGTTATAAGACCCACATTTAGACAACTTCCAAAGGGAAGTTGCAAGACCTACCTAAATAATTATATCCTTGGACAGCCTAACTATGGAGCTAAGTTGTAAAATCTGTTAACGGGCAACTCCTAAGTAGAGCTGTAAGTTTCACTCTAAATTAAATCTACAAACTACTTCTATGGGAGTTATAAGACATGTCAACCAAAATAATTTGGGCAACTTAGCCTGTAGGGCTATATTGTAAGACTCGCTACCGGACAACTTTTAAGTGAAGTCGTAAGACCGACATTTTAAAGAAATTGCTAAATAAATTGTAGTAACTCTAAAATCCAAATAATCAAATTCAAATTAACGGACAACTTAGCCTATATGATTAGGTTATAAGACCCATTAGTGGGCTACTTCTAATAGAAGCCATAAGATTTGTTTTTTGGGCTACTTTAAATGAAAGCCGTAAGTCCCAACTCAAATTCAAATACCCAGACTACTTATAGAAGAAGTTGTATGACCCGCTTCAATTCAAATTTTTGGGTAACTTCTAAACAAAATTATAAATCTCATTCCAAACTAATTTTTGAGTATTCTAATAGATGTAAACCATAAAGCTCAATAAAATTAGAGCTCACATCTAACCACATCATTCTACTTGGGATCCCTAAAATGTGACAACTCATGGCTGTTTATCAAATTCCTTGGAAACTACGATCAATGATTGTTAGTGTTGGTAGATTGAAACCTAAGTTATACCCGGGACGATAGAATCATGAGATCTTGATCGAGTTTACCTCCATTTTCCCCACAATTAAGACTAAAACACCTGAAATTTATTCTTCTTAATCGAGAGTTCTCTCTTACGTGTTAAGAGGAGTAATTAACTATGAGTGCTTGCGCTCATGGGAAATAAGGACCAAAATCTAGACACTGCCATCAAGGAAAATCTAGTTAACTACAATCTAACTTAAAGGAAATAGAATCATATGTCTGCAAAGTGAGATTCATGCCGAATTGTCATTTTTCTTGAGGCAACAGGACCTGATACACTTTTGGTGCCATTTTATATTTCTTCTGGTAATATATATTTTGCTTTAAAACCTTATACTTTTTACTATTATAAATACTTTAAAGATAAAATTAGGTATGCTGGTCTATAAAACAAAAAATTCAAGTAAAATGAAGCTAAGGAGATATAAAATTTCCTGTTTAGTTCGATTTACTTTTAGTAAGCCTTTGAGCTTTGAAAGGAAATATAATTTTGATTTGTTTGTAAGTTTTTTAAGAAAGTAGAATATTG